CTTGTTGCGTTTCAACTTGGGATTTTCAATTGAATGACATCTAGTCATTCAACAAGGACATGTCCTACATGCGAATATTACGATTGGATGAGTGCATTTGAAGGTTTAATCTAGTATTTTGGTCATTTCTCAGTGGATTCACTTCGACATTAACTGCTAAAAACAAAGATTACTTGTTGGCCAAGGTATAAAAGATCATACACTGTGTGTTGTTTGTAAATGTAGTGTTGCCTGTGTGTTTTCTACAAAATCTCCTGTATGTGGCATCTGGTAGTAAGGATGCTGTCAGTCTAACTTGAAAAGGAGATCCTCATTGATCTTACCGAGGAGTGAGAGATTATTTATCAAATCAAACCCTGAAAACAGTTCACTTTCAAGATTGAGACTGTGTAGTTGTTTTTGATAACAATCAAGTTATTGATCTGTTCTTGGAACATCAAAGCCAACCAAAAAAAATCAAATGTAGTGACTACCATTTGCCAACTGCAGTATGACGGATATGCAAATATTCAACTACAGTTCTGGTCACAGGACATTGACATCCTCAGGAAAAATGTTTGCATGGTACCACAGGAGCTGCTAGACATATTTCACAGTAGCGGAAAGACTTCGGAAAGGTTTGAGTGAACAGAGGAAAAACTCGGAGAATGACATGATCTGTGATGACATCGACACAAAAGTTACCATGCAACAGAATAGTTAAGACAAAAGCTATGGACATGCCAAGACAAAACGTTTGTGCTTGAACTGCAAGACAAATCTAAAACAAGCAGAATTAGCAGAAACTCAGACTATTGTGTGGGTATCTTAAATTCTTGCTGAAAAGAAAGCTAAAAGCGCAAACTATCATCAGGAAATTAGGCTGGACATTTGTACCAGAATATTCATACAAGATCCAAATTAAAGCTGCCAAGAGAAACAATCAGACACAATTCTTTGACTACATAGCAACCATCGCCCAAAGCCACCTAAATTGACAGTCAGTGACCCAGCTTTTGTAAATCCAAAATTCTCTGGAACCTGTGAAACTTATTCTTTGCCAGATAGGATTGAATGAGGCCATTTAATAATAAGGGAAGGGAAAACCGTGAATTGTTTATTGTCTGTAATGAACTACCCTTCGATTTGTGTAAGACGGTTATCGTAAGAATAAATGTGGATTATTACCGCGGTAGCATAGTGGTAGGGCGCTCCCTTCGTGATCGAGAGGCCCGGGTTCGATTCTCGTTCGCCGCGCCGCGTCAACCCTAGGTTGGTTGGTTTGTTTGTTGTTTATCGAAAATTTTCATTCATATGGAGTCGCCACCACTTGCCGTAGGAGAGCTGCAAGTTTTGACCTATGCTCGGCACTCAGCGTCATTGAGCAGTGAGGGATCTTTTTCGTGCCAGCTCCTACTGCGACACGCGACCTCAGTTTATTCGGTCTCATCCGAAGGACCGGCCTCCGCGTCCCACAGTGTGATTCGAACCCGCAACGTAGGGATCAACTCCCTACTCCGCGACTCTAGAGCAGGCACTCTAATCACTGCGCCACGCGGGCGACTCAAACTTAGGTAGCGACTTCGCCAAGCGTCCGGCATTGGAAGTGAAAGTCACAGGTCACACCCTCCCTGTTCAATGGCCCTGAGTGCCGAATATAGGTCTAAATTTGAAGCCCTTCACCGTCTCTATATGAGTGAAAAATTCTCGAATGGGACGTTAAACAACATACAATCAATCAATATTCTAAAACAGCTCCGAGTCTTCTGAAAGTGATGTGGAATTTCAAGGACATCATGATGCCAACCACCATGGGAAAGAGCAATCCAAAGTGAAGGAAATTGACTGGGTGATTTAACGGCCTGGAAATGGACATTTTGAAATGCATATGTTCACGAGTTTCATTGAAATCAACTGATATTGCCCACGAGAGTCTGTTAGATGAGTTGCACATGCTCTTTGTTAGAAAGTGCAAGCATAATAAAGAACTAGACACAACACAATTTTTTTCAAGTACACTTTGGAAGAAGCAGCAAATCCAAATTATCTACACTTGTTAACCATGACCCTAACAACCTCCAAGCAATTCGAAATTTTCGTGCTGGTTTGCGCAGTAGAAACATTGAGGCAATAATCTCTGCCAAGGTTTTTTTATTGCCCACTTTTCCGTGCTAGGAACCACCCAAAGTACTGAGAAATAAAAGTCATGGAGGCGTTCCAAATGCAGTGTGTTCCAGATGCATTACGAGAATTTTTCAATGAGACCGTGAGTGTAAGCCATACTATCTCAGTGGTAAAATTGTTGTACTGTAAAGTATATACACTGTAGTGTGTATCATAATGATCACACTTTCTTGTTACATTTTTAAATTTTTGTAAAGAAACTGTAACTGAGCTGAAAATTAACAAAATTATCTTGTAGGAGAAGGACTTGACTTCAAAGCTGAAGTTATTTAGAAAGTTCAGATATTCAGATGCCAAGGGAAGTTCCAACTTGGGAAGACTGGTCGCCCGTTATAAGGAACTTGAATGCTTTTGAACAGGTATGTGATGCAATGGCAAATTATATTGTCAGGATTACTAATACATTTTAAGCATTGAAAAATTAAATTTTCATTGAAACTATTCATGAAATCACCAAATTCGTTTCGATAATAAGTGGAATTGTATTTACTCAAATGTTTGATCAACATTGATTATCAGCTGTTTTGTAAGGAAAACGTACAGATTTGAAGTGAAGTAGGAATTTCTTAAAACGAACTCCTTTTACCAGCTTTGTTTTAAATTGAATTGCTTTGATTTGCAAAAGTTTGTTAAGCTTCTATTTAAGTTTTCTAAAAAAAAAAAAAAAAAAAAAAATCACTCGGAATTTCCATCGTAACTAAAATCAGATGACAATATCCATCTCGTTTCGCGTAAATAATCCATTATCGTCCAAATCATCACATTTATGATGTTTAATTTAAAACCGGAAAAGCATCGCTTTACGAAAAAGTATGCGGTAAACCTTGAAGAAAGCAAAATCGTTTCCGGAAAAATAAAACAAATATTCGGAACTCTTCTCTCGCTCTTACGAATCCATAGGAGAGGGTGCAGCCCCCTCTAGATCCCCCACTGAGTTCCATCCGTCGTGGTAGCCTAGTGATTGCACGCTCTCTTCCTGTTCGGAAGGTCCGTGTTCGATTCTAAATAACGGTGCCGTTATTAATTGAGTAATGGATAAAAATTACCAGATTTTACGAAAATCTAAACGTCCTAAGTTTTTTTCTGAAAATCTGTGTATGTGTCCAAGACGTTCTTTCGGATGATACCCTTAAATGTCACAATATGTATTAGTACGATAAAGAACCCTCACCGCCACGACCGCAAACGCCATTCATGGGTCAACATTTGTGGCAATTGACCTAGAGGAAGTAGCTTTCTTCTGAGGTGTGAGTTCTCGAATTCTCGTTAACATACATAAAATCCAAAGCCTCGCCCTCTATGAAACTAAGTACTAGTACCCGATATATTTCTGTAAACAATCAGTAACAAACCTAATAAGTAATAATGCAGGTATCTAAGTTAGATTTAGAGTACTCATGGCCTGAACGTCGTCAATAGATAATTGAAAAATTTTATTCAACTGGTAAACTCGCAACATGAAATAATTGTAACTTCACATTACTTACGTTAAAATGCGGTAATAATTACTATATACTGAAACTGACAGTATTATTGGAGAATAATTTTGAAAAATGGAAATTTGAAAGTATAAATCATCCGATGGACTGGTACTGAATTTGCACTGTCTACTTTTTCTGCAGTCTTTGCAGTTTGTGGCAAATTCGTGCGAGCAATAGGTATAATATGTACTGAGGAACTGCAGTAATTGGACACTGTGCTGGCGTTGGTAAAGCACGGGTGCATTCAGCTGTGGGGGTAACTGATGCAATGAAATATGGAGATAACGAACAGTATTCAACCTCAATGTCCATTAAAACAATGCAAATCGTGAGCAGAGCAAACATGGACCTCCAAAAACATCAGAGGTGGGATCAGGTGCCATGGAAGAGTGAGCATCCCCTGCCGACCGGTCACACCTGCCGTGTGCTCCTTGTCATGATCGGGGAAAATGATGACTTTAAACGAGACTGTTAAGTATGCTCTTGCGTATTGAATCAACTGGGAGACAAAAACCCCATATGCAGGTGATAAGTGTATATTGCTACATAAGTAAGGGGAGCTGACGATTGAAAAATTGATGTCAATACGTTTATCATAGAGCTTTATTGTAAAGTTACCATTTGTAACGACTAAAGTCAAGTTCTTTATATGGTTCTTTATTTTAAATTAAATTATCAAATTGGCAATGAGCTACAAACAATCAAAAATATATACACACATTACCAATAGAACACACAAACAAAAATAAAAGAATTAATCAGTATATGAATTTAAATTCAAACGAACACATACCACCAAAATATGGCAATGCCACACCCAGTCACTCACTCGTACTTTTACTGCGCGTGTGGTCTCTAAGGGCGCACTTGTTTCATTAGCCGGGCCAAGCCGGTTGGTACTTCCGGAGGCGGCTAAGTTACTTGTTTCAAATTATTTTAAGCCGCCGGGCGATCAGAAAGTAGCCCGGATTGCCCGAAAATTTTCGAGCGGCCACATGGAAAACAACATGGCGGAAAACTAAGGTAAAAAAAATTCTTGCACGTAAAATATCTATTTTATATTTAATGAATTGGTTTAATTTTATTTACATTCAGTTTTGAGGTAATGGATAAACTTTTCTGGCATTTTTAATTACGTTTAAACGATCAACGCTGCCTTTTTCTCTATATCTGTGGAAATTACAGCTCAGTCTGTGTGTTTTGTGAACAAATAATAGGAAAATTGACTTTCTTAATTATAAAGAAAACTCAATGTGCAGTTTACTAAATGTTTTGTTGCATATTATAAATAATTTGCGCCTTTACATTTTGATAGATGGATATTGAAACACGTTTGGACCGCTGTACTTGTTATATGTGTCACAATAGAGCTCCAGTCCATTCTTTAGCTTCATTAGAAGCTCAAGAAAAATCAAAAGAAACGGAAATTTATATAGACGGAGATTATAGGTGAAAATAAAATTTTTAAATAATGAAAAAAAGTAATACAATGATTATGTACATTAGATACAAAGTTCAATTACTTAAAGTCAACAATTTACCTTACCTATGACTCCCATTATGATATGGTGCAAATGCTTATTATAAATATCTCCTATTATTTGAGTTTCAGGGTCTACCTGCGTTGCCCAGCGTGCGATTCGTGTTTTCATGCTAGTTGTGCTGAATACGAAATAGAACTTTTCCTAACCAGAGAACTCACCGGGACACTGTGTGAAAGGTGTGCGTGTGCAAAAAACTAAGGTATTTTAAAGTATTGAACAGCAAATATTAATTTACTATTCACTTCGATTCAGGAGAATAAACATTTCTTTTGAGGCAAATTTAAAATTTGGAAAATATAAGTACAATTATTTTGTTCTAAAAATAAATAATTACTATCACAATTTAAAGATTGTCAATTTATCTTAAATGGTTCTCAATGCTAGTTTAATTTGTTTAATAGTCGTACATGGTATCAGAGACAAATACAAACTATACATGTTATTTTAGATGTCTACAACGAAAGTTATATCTGTGACAAGAAATGGTGTAACGACTAAGATTCTATGTACTCAAGAAGTTGCTAACATGCTGATGTCCAAGGAAATTGGTAAATGTAATGTGGAAGTTATGTTTCTTTCACATCTTTATAATAATACCAAGAATACATGCAAGCTGATATAGCTATTAATATCCATCTTCAGAATCTTGTTTATATTTATTTTAACAGTAGGACTAATTTTGAGAATCAAAAGTGCAACATATATTATTAAATGTATATATCTATTACTTAATTATGACATCTTAAATTTTAATTTTAAATAACATCTAACTGGATGCATGTTCATATAAATTTGCAGTTAAGGAATAAATGAAATACTAAATGAAGTCACCCAGATGGTGAATAATCTTAAATTTTCCATCTAATCTTCCTGTTAGTTATCTTAATGGGGCTGTATAGATGTTCTACTTTGACAGATTCAAAGGTAAAAGAAATGATCGTAAATCAACTTCTATCTACATCCACACTGCCATCTGCAGGAGAGACACCTCCACTGCCAAGTCCTTCAATACCACCACCACGCAGTTCTTCAACACCACCACCATGCAGTTCTTCAGCACCACCATTGCCAGGTCCTTCAGCAACTCCACTGCGCAGTTCTTCAGCACCACCATTACCAGGTCCTTCAGCACCATCACCACGCAGTTCTTCAGCAGCACCACCATTGCCAGGTCCTTCAGCACCACCATTTCCAGGTCCTTCAGCACCACCATTGCCAGGTCCTGCAGCACCACCATTACCAGGTCCTTCATCAGTGCAGGATGAAGATACAAGTATGTGCAATCATATTCATGTATAAAGAAAAAAAATTAAAACTTGGTTACTGCAGTTTTATATATAATTATATTTATATATAAATGTATGTTAGATTTCTATGATGAAGGTCATTGCCACACCTTCATTAACTTAATTTCATGTCCCACATATGCTTTGCAATGAAGATCATGTTATTTTATAGGGCTGCTGTCTGTCATCCATAAATCTTCTATGTATGGTGTCAGTTGGACTACATCTTTGGTTGATTTAATAATAAAAGACTATGACTTATCAAATGTTTTCAAGTGCATTCTTAGACATTATCTTTAACATTTTTAGATGGAAAGTGGGATGTGCAAAGCATAAAGCTATTGAAGAAGGTGTATCATGATATAGAAAGTCAAAGCTCCTCCAAACCTCTGAAGAATAAATGGCAGAAGGTGGCTAAGGAAGTTAATAAAGAAGGAGGCTACAACTTTTCAGCAGAAAAATGCAGAATGAAAATAAAGGGTCTTAAATCGAAATATGAACGTCATAAGAAAAAAAACAACACTTCTGGTGAATCACCAGCTTCTGATGAAGATGAGGATGATTTTGATGTTTTTGAAAAAATACCGGATATGAAACCTAAAGCAGTGCTAGAATCAGGAACCTCAAAAAAAAGGCCACCTGCTGATGATTCCTCATCTGAAGAAACAGAGCCTGTACCAGGTATATTTCCATGTATTTTATATCATATTTTTGTATAAAAACATCATGTAGTTCTCCCATACTCATGTGAAATATTGAACAGGTAAAATTGCCTCATATCTATCAAGTACTAAAAAACGTGGAGAGGACTTATATAGGCAGTGCCTGCTGTCCAATCCAGTTATGTTTAATCATAATAAAATATTGTTTAAATTAAGTACTGAAAAAATTAAATTTAATTATCCATTTCCATTCAGTGAAAAAGAAAGTCCACCCTAAAAGGTCTGCAGAGGTTTTGCAAGTCATGTTAAAAGACCTGGATTGGGTTGCTCAAAACTCTGGTTAAATTTAACCACTGGTTAAGCTAACCATTGGTCAAATTTATTTTCCATTGGCTACTTAACCACTGGTCAAATTTCTGTTGCTCAAAGGGCAATTAGTTCATAGGCTAACTATCCATTGGTTAGCATGACTTAACCAGTGGATAGTATCCCATAATGCAATATACTTTGTCCATCTGTCAACAATGGCTGCCAAAAAGAGAAGTGAAAATTTCTCTACTGATGATGTTTTGTTCATTATAAGTAAGGTTGAAGAGAATATAGATGTTATTCAGTCGAAACAAACTAATCAAATAACAAATGCCAAGAAGGCAGGTGTGTGGAAAAGCATCACAGATGCTGTTAATGCCCGGGGTGGTGTAAATAGGACCGTTGAACAGGTCAAAGAGAAATACCGTAAGGCCTGTTCAAAAGCAAAGGGGGATAACGTAACCCAGAAGATTCATCGGAGAAAGACTGGTGGAGGGCCACCTCATCCCCCTCTTGATGCCATTTCTCAAAAGATATTGGATCTTCACGAGGACTCCCCTAATTTCACAGGCTTTCAAGGTGGGATTGAGGTTGGCGGATTTAATGTAACAGGTAAGTAATTTTGACAAACCTTTATTTATTATTTTTCTGTGTCTTCATAAATCTCGGCACAACTCGGTCCTTCGTCTGCATGAACTGGCGAGGAAATTCGCATTTTACTATAATCTGGAACGACGGCGTTTACTTCCGTGAGAAATATTAGATGAATTCATTGAAAGTCGTACGGGATCAAGTTTTACGTTTTTTGCTAACGCCGCACACTGTCTATGCATTGTAACATATTCTATAAGAAGCTTTTATTCTTTCTGCATCCACCAAAACAAATACAAAGGTCATGGTCAAATTAACTATTTCGCTCCTATGATGATTCGGTCCGTACCACTTTGACATTACACCGTGCAAATGTCGGTGATTTTCCATGCCGATGTACGCACAATTATTTCTGGCAAATAAATTAAAGTAAAGTACAAATCAAGGACAGACTAGAACCACTTTTATTTAATTTTAGTCAGAATTTTATTGTCATACAATGTTTTCTACAAGTCAAATTAAATTTCATTTAATTTGAATTATAAGCTTTTACTATATCTTTCACAGACTTAAAATATATACATCCAACAAAAAAAATTTAATTACCCTGTAGGCAGTTTGTTTGAAGACAAATTGTAGACATTTTTTATAATATTTATATGTATGTACAATTTCAGAGAAATCAGTTCCTAAACCTGAAGATAGTGACTGTGTTAATGAAGGTCTTGGTAAGCAAATCATATATATTCTGAACATATATCTAATAATGTAATACACAACCAGTTAAATAAATTAAAAACTATTATTAATAGTTTTGGGTAGTTTAAAAATTATTTTATTGAATAAATTTAATTTGACTTTTGAGAAACATTAATACACTATACTTATCACTTTCTTTCACTTAAAAAAAACTGTAAAAAAAAATCCAGCTTTGAGACTGAAACTCAAACTGAAAAATTTCAATCTCCAGTTATAACTCTATCAAATGTATGTAAACTACTTTTTACAATAATTGTACATATAAATATTTAATATTTATTTGTTTTAATTTCAGAATCACAGATCTCATGCAATACAAGTTCATGCAACACCTATAATGGATGTGGGCTTGAGACCTTAGCATCTAATGGTATTGACACTTTTGTAAATATATATCTGATTTTATAGAAACATTGAATATAAACATCCAAAGGAATTTAAATCAAAGAAATTTAAAATCTGCTGGAGATATGGGAAATTTTATTGCAATGTAGATTAAAATGATTGTTACTTATACACAGGTGAGAGCCAACAAATCATTGAACTTCCTGAAAATTCTTCAGGTATGGATTTGATTAATAAAGTTTTATTGCTCATTGATAAATATGAAAACAGAATATGCTTGAAATGAATTTATATTGTTTGAATTTAAACAAAAAATATATACATTTATTATATGTTTATGTTTACATTATTGGTGTCAGCAATTAACAATATAAATTATCTTGTGGTTTAATTTATACAGGATCACCTGTTGCATTCAATGTAACAATATCCAATTCAGGGACAACTGTTAGAAAGTCTGATTGTTCAGGTACACTTTCATAAATGTTATCATTCACATTTAATTGACCATATCATATGGATGAATTATGAAAATTAAATTTATATTTCAATTATGCATGCTTTACAGTGACATATTTTCATTGAATAATTCAGCTGAAGAGAAAAGAAAGAGGAAACCTATTGAAACAGGCAGTTCAGAATTACAATTAAAGGTGTCAGATCTTCAAAGACGTGTTCTGCTTGAGGATTTAGAGAGAATTAAGGAACAGAGGGAATTGATTAAGCTCCAGAAGACAAAAGTGGATCTTGAAATCAAGAAGCTTAAAATGGACATTGCTAATCATGAACCTAGCAATATAAATGAACCCTAAATTTTTAGCACACATGAGCCAAAGTCAGTGCTTTTTCTAATCATACTTTGTTGTTGTCATCGTTGTCATTCTAAACTTTCCAATTTTTTACCCTATATTAAAAAAAATTCAGAATTATTAGAATTATAAAAAACAAATGAGGACCCTTGGGTTGGATGGGGTCACAGTGGGGAATCAAATATTTATGTAGGAATAAGAAAGGGGGGCTTTTAAAATCTTCTCATACGAATAGTGAACCATTAATGATTTTTATGTAAGCCCTCCTATGAAGAAGGGAGGGTATATTGTTTTTCTGCTGTCTGTCGGTTGGTCTGTCGGTCCACTTAGTTTCCGTTCCAAGTTTGTTTAAATCATTTTCTCCTGGGGTAGGATGAGACTACAATAGGGGATCAGTGTTAAATACAGAAGTATATAGGGGGGGGGGGGTCTGCTGATAAACTAAGAATAAGGTCAGAGTGTCTTTGGTGAGCTTTGTGGTCCATAGGCATCTTGTTCTTGATTTATATTTTTAAAAATGAAATTTCTCTGTGTTGTATTTCTTAGTTTGAAAAACTGTTGACATTTCTAAATATTCAGTTTTTAGCTGCATTAATAAAATTTCATCAAATTTTGAGAACACTCAGTTGAAATAATGCTCTGTGATAAATCTCCTGACATTATCATTGATGGGACCCTGCACTGCTCCGTCATTTCCCCCATTGTCTCCTGGGCCATTAATATCATCTTCCATTGGCTCATGTCTCTGAAGAGCTATATTGTGCAGTACAGCACAAGCCACCGCTATCTTTGCAACCCGCCCTGGTTCACACTAACACAAAAAAACATATTTGTAAAAATATGTTTAAGTAAATGCAAACTGTAACTAAATGTCAATGAATATTAAAATTTAATAGAATGGTCCTATAAATACTGAAGTATGTATTAGTGTACTCGGTACTTTCAGGCACTTAGAATGAGGAGGCAGGGGAGGGGATACTAGTACCATACCGTACCACTACACTTAAACTAGCTAGTCAAAACTTTTAGAACATGAGAGTAGGATACCCCTATGTCTTAACACCCCCCCTCCCAAAAATAAAAACTATTAAAAAATTAAACAGAATATTTTCTTAAAATTACTTTGTACTATCTAATTATTTGGAGATGTGTTATCTTAAGGTATGTATAGAGTAAGTTATTATTATTCAGGTAAGGTAGCATGTAGAATTTATTGAAGAATCAAAATTTTAAAAAAGTGAAAGAAAAAATTGTGAAAACATTAAAATTAAAACTCAATACCTGAAATAATTATCATCTTTTTAGTCAGGAGAATGTGTAAAATGTACTATATTGGAAAGGTTCATAGCAAGATCAGTGATTTTTTTGTTTGTTTGTTTCATTTGTAAGATGCTTACTTTATTTTCTTCATGAAGCACTATAAAACGCCTCTTCCACCAACCAAAACACCTTTCCACGACACCCCTAGTTTTTGCATGAGCATCATTGTACTTTATTTGTGCTCTAAGTGTAGAATTTTAAAAGAATATACACAGCATTACAAATAATGCATTAAACTTGGAATTAAAGTAACTTCGTCTGCTTACTATTATTCATGAAACTTAAAAAATGAATAGAATATAGCCCAATTTAGTGTTCCATTATATCGCTGTTTTTCTAAATTTTTCCAGTGCTCACAGTTTTCTAAATGAAAAGTAATTTAGTTATTCATGAATTTTATTTCATTGACATCAGTAATGGTACATGCATATACCTTGTACTAGGCCGCAGGTATGGCGTAAGTAAGTACCTACTGCAGGCATACCCACTATCTCCCAAAAGAACCCCGTCCACATCAATACCCCGATGGTTTCCTTCTAAATGAATGCCGATGTCCGAACTCCGGAAAATAAAAGAGTCGTGGTTCGAACCTGGCCACTTTGCAGAAACATTCAAAAATTTCCCTATAATAAACCAGCAATGTGACTTTCAAAAATGTGTTTGAAATATCATAATTATATTTGCATGAGACGTGGGAGGGTAAATAGTGATAGGGATTTATGTCTGTTTGTCTGTCCACTTCCGTCCATATCCTGTACATCCGTCCGTCTGTCTGTACCTCCGTTATGCTTTGTGGTTCCCATTTCATATCTGCAAGTCCTCCTCTACCACTGAATGAAATCTAATGAAACTTTCACAGAGTCTTTGTTATAAAGTGCATTTGAGAGGCTTATTGTACATTTTTATTTGACAATTATTTGGGGTCCCCAAGAGCAAAACATGGACTTTCGCCATATATATTTATAGGGGGGGGTATCATTCAGTGAGTTTACTGCTCGCGGTACCACTAGTTAGATATATTAACTACATGTATGTTACATGTAACTTATTATATTTGTAGTAGTAAAAGGATTTATTGATTCGCAGTCTATCACTTTACCTTTGAATATTTAACTCGTATGGAAATATTACCATTTTCAAACTTTCACCCTACACATGTACTTCCAGGCATTTGGCCATTATTGAATTGAAGAAGAGGGGGTTTTCTAATGAGGAAAATGTATCGTTGGTAAAATATCACAGCTCTAAGATTACCTGTATGGTCACATATTCCCTGGACATTTATGGAGTGAAACCCCTTTCTATTAACATAGGTATGTTCATATTCTCTCGGGGACTGGATTCGAATATGAGTCCCATCTACAGCCCCGATAACTCCAGGGAATGAGGCAATGGAGTAAAATCCCTGCTTAATGGTCATCTTCTCTGCTGGATCTGTGGGCCATTTGATATATTGTGGAGCAATGTCACACAGTGCGGCTGACACATCCCTAACACTCCTGGACACGCTAGAAACATGGAAACCCATGGTATCCCCAATTGTTGTCATTTTGTCCCCAGTCGCATAATATCTCAGTGCCATTAAAACTTGTTCATGTGCAGTCATTGCATAAGAACGCAGTGTTGGGCGGCACAGATACGGCTCCAGCATATATGTAATTTTTGCTACTGTTTCTCTAGAAAATCTGTACCTAGATGAAAATTCCCCCTCTTCAAAATTGTGATGGAAATGTCTATATACCCTTTCTTTTCTTTGTCGTCTGCCAAAGTTGGAATCGAAGACTAACCTTGCAGCCATAACTAACCACTGGTTAACAGTTAGCACAGCTCCCTTAGGTGTGCTAAAGTTAACCAGTGGTTAGATGAAATTAACCTTTGGACAAGTAACTTTAACCAGTGGACAAATTTTGAGCAATGGAATTTAACCAATGGTTAGAAATTAACCGCTGGATAAGAGATTTAACCAGTGGTTAAACTTAACCAGAGTTTTGAGCAACTCAATCCTGATGGAAAAACGAGAAGAAAAGGCAGAACAACGACATCAGGAAAAACTTGCCACAGCCAACTCTCTCATAGAAGTTTTGAAAGAGTTGGCAAAGAAATAATTGTACAGAGGTTTACTTAAGTTAGCTTACTACAGACAGTAGAAAACTTTATACTTTCTTGCCTTATGGTTATAATAAGTTAAGTCTTATAATAATGTGTCCCAGATCAAGTTTTGGAAGAATTTTTTTTACTCCATTTCTTATTAAGGTCTTCCATTCCTGGAATATTGATAGATCATGAGAGGCATATATACAGAATAGCCTGAAGTGAGTCAGCAGTCATTCTGGTCATCACTGAAAGTGATCAGAGGAAATGAAAATTTCTTCTTTTTTTCTTGTGAATTAAATCTTGCAAATTTTTTGGCAAAAAAAAAGAAGTTTTTTTCAAAACTTTAAATACATGTATCTTTAACTTTTTTAGTTTTCAACCAATCAGAATGAAATTTAGAATATTTATAATTTATAAAATTTAGAATATAGATAAGTAAAAAGGATTCCTGCACTATGGTAATATCAACAATAAAAAATGCAACCATGAACATGCATGCACGTGCTGAATTTGATAGGCTGTATTCCTTTTTTCAGTGAAATTATTTAAAATTTAACTCTTTAGTATATATTGTGATTCATAAACAGAATATTATTATTGAGAAATCAATATATCTTGAGAAATGTTCATGCATCTTTTCAATAAAGGTGGATTTTACACTTAATAGTGAACTTGGAAAGCAGACTGCATTTGTAATAATTTTTAGTGATAGCGATCAAAGATGACTGCAGCCCCACTCATGAGTCATTGGTTTGATCCATCGTCCTTTTTAAGATCTATTTTGTACTTGTTACCTAGTTTGAGGCAGTTGCATACATTTACATTATTCCTACAAAGTTTATATCAGGATGATATGAAATTGGTTATTTTTGTTTATTTTGATGATGATTTTTTTTTATGTTGATAATCATTTTTTTTATGTTGATAACTTTGTTCATGTTGATGAAAAACAATAAATAATAAACACATGTTTATTGCTATTCTTTTTGCTCAAAGTTTTGAGAAAATAGACACAAAGGGCTTTTGAAGAGTTTGTATACATGTAAATAAGAGATGTACATTATAAAAGTAGTATAAAACATGATCTTGTTCACAAGGTCCGTGATCTAAACTTACATTCTGTTTGTAATTTGTATTCTTTTCAGTGCTCCCTGGGCATCATTCTGAAGCCAGGGATACACATTTACATGTCCTTGATCATCTTCATCATCAGAATCCTCATTGATAATGTCATCCAACCTGTCATTTTGTAAAATGCATATATTGTGAAGTATGCAAGTACAAACTACAGTTTGACACATATCCATTTCACTTTTAAGGTTGAGATACTTGAGTCTTCTAAATCGTCTTTTAAGTAATGCAAATGAACGCTCAATAACTTGTCTTTTGGAGGACAGCTGCAAGTTGTAACGACGTTGTTGGTGGTTCAAATGGCCATTATCGCGGTAAGGCGTAAGAAGCCACTGCTTGAGGGGATATGCTGCATCTCCTAAAATATGGTAGCGTCCATGTGCACATTTTTCAAATCCAGCTTCCCAGAGAGTAGAGTTTTTAAGTACTTTAGCATCATGTACCCTCCCGGGCCAGCCAACATTAATATTTGTAAATTGTAAATCATTTTTACAAACTGCCTGAAGTATTATCGAATGAAACTTCTTCCTATTATAATATGAATTGGCATTCTGTATTGGTGCTTCAATTGGTATATGGCAACCATCAATGGCCCCAATCACACCTGGAAAATTATAAGCCCCCATTTCATCAAAGTCTCTTGCAATGTTGGGAAAATCTGCTACATCTGGCCATTTTATACATTTGTTGAAAAAAGTATCAATCACAGCCCTTATAACCTGCTTTTTGCTCTTAAGAAAACAATGCTCACTTACACCAAAGCGGTCACTTAGTTCACAAATAGTTTCTTGAGATGCCAGGTACCTTAAAGTCATTAGAATTTTTTTCTGTAATGGAACTGAGGGTCTTCCACCAGAAACAATACGTGTACTTTATGTTGGATGAAGAGCAAGATTTCTACACAAAAGTTCAAGAGTTTCTCTGTTTATCTTAAAAAAACGTTTAAAAGAGTCTGGCAGGTAGTTTTTGATTGTTGTCTCGTAGTATCTCTTCGATTTTATTCGGTCATCTCTTGCACTGAAAAAATTAAAGTATCAAATAATAGAATAAATTTATTTTTAAAAAATCACAAAAGAAAACGGCAAGAATATACCTGGTTAAAATTCTAGAACATTTATTATACCTTTACTCAAGCAGTTTTGAGAAATGTGAACTTCAATTTAATAGTTACTTGATATTCTTTACACAATCACAATTATTGTCTGCATATGTCGACCCATGGCTCAGTTATCCTTGACACAAGGTCTACAGGGTCAATGTCCAGTAGAACTAATTTTAGATAAACATCTACAGATAAATGAATTTTGCTTAATAAAGGTCTGTGTATACAAGCATTTTCTTAATAAAATTGCAAAGATGGACTGGAATGTCCCCCCCTCTCCACCAAATAATTTGGCCAATATATATACAATTTGAAATTCAGACTACCCCCTCCATATCCAATGCAGTCAGACCCCTTTATATAAGTCCTGAAGCAATCAGATTGAGGAGGGGGAGGGCAGCAACAAAGAAAGGTTAACAGACATTACATGACCGTAGGAACGGTGGGGGCACGGGGGGACCGTGCCCCCCCCCCACCCCCCCAATAATTTTGCCAATATATAGATTACTATAGTAAACATAGATACATGTACTATATGCTTGTGCCCCCTCAATAAAAACGTCTGATGCCCCCCCTTTTTTTTTGCTTGTCAAGGAATTGTTGGTAGTTGATGATCTTTTTTTTTGCTTGTCAGGAAATTCTTGGTATTGCCCCTCATCTGTAAACTTTGTATGGCTGTGCCCCCCCCCCCCCCAACTGAATTTGCTTCATACGGGCCTGCATTAAATTTATTATTTAGGGGAAACTGTGAATAAGTTTTTCTAAAACCACATGCAAATTGGTTTCTTTTACCAACATATTACCACAGACGTATATAACTAGCTTAAAAAGTAACAAGTACATTGCATTAGTATAGCGTACATTATACTTCCTCCTGAAAAGGCAAAAATATCTTCTAAATCGTCGTCGTCCTCATCACTTGCGAGAAAATCATTTATCATGTTTATCGCAGCAACACTTCCCAATGGCAGCCATTTTTCGGCTGAAAATTCCACTTGTTTCAGTAGACTAACCGGATCAACATTGTCATGTGATAAAAGTGAACCGGCTTGTCGCCCGGATGTCTGAAACAAGTGCGCCCTATATAAACAGAATTACCGGTATTTATTATATTAACGATAAAAAGATATAATAATTAGTATAATTCAAGTTTAATAAAACACAAGGTTAACAGACATTCTTACCGTAACACGCATCACTCTCAAACTCAATCGAACACGTTCAGTTCATAACAGGGGCGTCAGCACAGGGAGTATTAACAGATAACTAGACAAACCAGTTTAAATCTTAGAGATTTACTCAACAAAATAATATTTTTTTTAAATTCAAATCACTGCATTGAAAATTAATTAAAAATAGATAACAACTAAATTAATATTCAAATAGAATTTTTATAAAGTTTTTAATAATATAATCTCTAAATAAAATTAAATACCTGGCGCAAGGACAGTGTAGAAATAGACAATCGGTTTAATAAAGCATGGTGCGCGTTTCGTGTTCTTTTAGTATGCGCAAAATTAACCGTTACATTCCTCCCCGCACAATTTTGTTGATGCCCTCATCAACAAGTAGATAAAACTGACTATATGCATAATTTATAAAAACACGAAGAAATGTCATTCGTTCAAAGTCATAATCTATGCCTCTATTTCCTCATCAGAGTCAGACTCTTCACAAATATTATTTTGCTCATTTTAGTGCTTTTCTCTTGTATCTAAAAGCTCGTTTCTGTGAAGAACTTTTGTTTCATTACTACCATCTGCTGACTTTACTTCGTAAACATTTTCCTGTAACTTACCTGTGACAATGTAAGGATCTGATTTCCACACATCTTGTATCTTATTCCCACCTTGTACATGGTTTTTAATCAGAACCTTTGCTCCTACATCAATAGAATAAGGAGTGGATTTCCTTTCATGAAACTCCCGTCGTTTTTCTGCGCTCTTCTCTGCTTTCTTACCTGCAACAGTCCAGGCGTACTTAAGATGCTCTTTGTGGGACTTCAACCAATCGTCTACCTGGTAGCATACATCATCCTTGTTGGTACCTAATAAGTAATCTACAGGTAATCTTGGTTCTCTTCCATAAAGGAGGAAATAAGGTGTCAATCCTGTAGTTGAATGAGGTGTAACATTGTATATATAAACAAGTTCTGGCAAATACGCCGTCCATTTTCTTTTTCTCTGTGCATCAAGCGTTCTTAACTTATCATGCATCGTTCGGTTGAATCTCTCGCATTGCGAGTTACCGTCAGGATGATAGGGAGTGCTACGTGACTTTTTTATACCATACAACTTGCATAACTCTTTAACCACCTCACCCTCAAAATTTCTACCATGGTCACTATGCAAACGACTTGGTATGCCAATTTTATAGAACCATTTGTAGACTAGCTGTTTAGCGACAGTAGAGGCTTTTTGATTCTTTGTAGGAATTGCCATGGTATATTTCGTGAAAACGTCCGTCAAAACAGAACATTTTCAATACCATCTGAAGATTTTTCTAATAATGTAAAATCCATTGCCAAAATGTCTAATGGTTGTTTAGCTATCAAGTTACCTATTGATGGTCTAATTGTTGGAACTGGTGTCTTGGCAATCTTGCATCTTTCACATTTTTCGATCCATTTGATGACGTCTGCCTGCATTCCTGGCCAGTAACATCTTTTCCTCACAAGTGCAAATGTCCTCTCTCGACCCTGGTGTCCAGAACAATCATGCAGAGACTCCATTACCTGTGGTCTAAGACATTCTGGTAACACTAACTGCAAACACTCACCATCAAATCCCTTACTGGTCATGTACAAGACACCGTTCTTGAACTGTAACAAATGATACTTCCTTAGACATTTTCTCACCTTTCCGTTCTCTTCCGAAATTTGACGTGATGTTGGTTTGTGGCCAATCTCCATCCAGTGAAGTACTCTATTGATCTTTGGATCCTCAACCTGCAGTTTCTGTAAATCGTCT